CCCTGTGTCATGCTCTGCATCACACTTTTTATAGGATCTAATGTGATTGGGAGACAAATTACCCTGAGAAAGTCTGCAGTTAGGGACCTCTCCAAATTACCAAGGGGCAATGATATTAGTTTGAGAATGAGAGGCACATGATTTCGGTCATAGTCTTTCTGATCACTTCCTATGCATCTGCACATTGGACAATGAATAAGGATGTCAGAAGAATAATTGATGCCGTTGAACCATGGTGGTGGAGAAGAGTGCTTAATATTCCATGTTGTTGTTGTTGTTGTTATGTGCTGTCGAGTCGTTTGCGACTCATAGCGACCCTATGTACAACAGCCCTAAACCCTGCTCTATCCTGTGCCAATCTCATTGCCTCTGACAAACCCATCCCGAGTACCCCAGTCACTGAATCAATCCACCTCATAGAGGGTCTTCCCCTCCTGCGCTGTCCCTCCACTCTACCCAGCATGATGTCCCTCTCTAAAGACCTGTCTCTCCTTACAACCTGTCCAAAGTATGTCAAACGAAGCCCCAGAATCCTTGCCTCCAAGGAGCAGCCTGGTTTAATCCTCTCTACGATGAATCTGTTTGTTTTCTTGGCAGTCCATGGTACATTCAATACTCTTCTCCAGCACCACAGCTCAAAGGCATCAATTCTCCTTCTGTCCTCCCTAGTCATTGTCCAACTCTCTGATGCATAACAAGTGATTGCAAAAACCATGGCCTGTATCAGGCGGACCTTAGTCTCCAGAGAGACACTGTTGCTCTTCAGTATTTTGGAGAGGTCCCTAACTGCAGACTTTCCCAACAAAGAGGTTATGTCTTGGAGAAGGTACAACCAGAGTGCTTCTTAGCGGCAAAGATGATAAAGCTTCATCTCATATACTTTGAGCAAGCTGCTAGGAGAGGCTAGCTATTCCTTGGAGATAGACATCTAAATGCTTAAAAAGGTGCAGGGACAGCAAAAGATAGGAAGACTGTCTACCAGGTGGGATGACACAGTGATTGCAGCAATGGACTTAAGTGTGTCAGAGATTGTGAGAATAGCACAGGATAGAACAAGGTTCAAATCTGTTGTTCATAGGCTCTCTATGAGTTATATTTGGCTCAATGGCACCCAGCAATGACAATGAGATCTTTGAGGGAGCCCTGGTGGCCTAGTGTTGAAGAGCTTTGCTGCCAACCCAAAGACACACAGTCCAAATCTACCAGTTGCTCTGTGGAACAAAGACAGGCATTCTCTTCCCATGTGATTTACTGTTTCTGAAAACATACTGGAGGGTCAGCTGAGTCAGTTCTGACTAGATGACATAAAAATAACTATATAATCTTCAAAAATAATACAGTGGTGTTGTGTACTGTCATGTCAGAACTGGCTCACAGCTGACCCTCTAGTGTGTTTTCAGAGGTTGTAAGTCATATGGGAGGAGACTACCCATCTTTCTCCCACACAGAAGCTGTGGATTCGAACTACATACCTTTGCACTGGAAGCACAATTCATTACCACTAAGCCACCCAAGCTCCCTGTTGTTATTAGGTGCCATTGAGTTGAGTATAACCCATAGTGACCCTATGAGCTTCCCATGTCCTATCTTCTACCATCCTCATACTTCCTGACACACTAGCGCCTATTGTGGCAGTCATTGTGTCTACCTACCTGGTTGAGAGCTCCCTAGGGTACCACTATCATTCCCATTTTAAGGATAGAAAAGCTGAGGCTTCTAGAGGTCAAATGACTTGCGTAAGATCACACATCCAGAAAGGGCTTGAACCAGTCAACCCAACTGCCTTCATTAGGATGCAACACTAAAGATGGGTGCCCCTGAGGAGCCATCAGGGGACAAGGAAGAGGAATGTTAGGGCTGCAGGGCCAAAGCAGGGTATGCTGGCAAAAGCAGAGGCCCAAGGCAAGCTGAAGCCAGTGCTTTGGGTTGGGCAGGGCCAGCTGCCTCTGGGTAAGGCAAAAAGCCACAGAGAAAGTGCACTGCCCCAAGACACAGACTCTTCTGAGCTCCCCTAAAACAGCTACTTGACTTAAACACATTTTTTAAAGCAGCTTATTATCAGTGTGTGTGTATGTGTATGTGTGTGTGTGCGCACGTGCGTGCAAGTGCAATTATAAAACCAATAGATGTACTTTAGTGAAAAATGAGGTGGGGGGGAACCAGAAAACCTAAAGAGTCAGCCAGCTAAACATAACTACCCTCAGCATTGCTTATATATCTCCTGTGTTTTCCCTACATGTCTACATGTTCTGTATCCTATGTATGCATTTCCCCCCAAATTAGAATCAAACCATTTTCCTGTTTTGTATACTTTTCTATTCACATCATGGTTTATCATGAGCATTTTTCCATATTGTTAACTAGTCACTGAAAGATTGTTTTTTAAAAATAATGGCTGCTGGGATTTTACTGATAAATTTCTGTGGTATATGTGTTTGCTAGGAAGGAAAAAATACAGAAGAATTTAGAGAACTCTCTCATAAGCTCACCCCCTTTAGACATAATAATCTTCATTAAAATTTGTTATATTTATTTCTAAAACTTTTTCCTATGGACAAATACCTGCACATACCTGTTTTCAAATAACCAAACTGAAATCCCATATCCTCCCTTAGGTTACCTTTAAGGCAAGACATATATATTCAAATGCCTAGATTTCCAAGACCAGCCAAGCTGAGTCTATGGGGTCTGAAATATCAAACATTTTCACAAAAGGGCATGTCAGAATCTATGCCCTGTGATACCAGCTTTCCATGAGAAGCTATAAATCTAGGCTAAGTTAAACTTTAGAAACAATGGCCCCTAAGTAAAAATATGTAGCTTTAAAAGTTGGGTGGCAATTTCTTCAACAAACAAACAAAAGGAGAGCCTGGTGAAGAGATGGAAAGGCAGCCTATAGCTTGAAAAGAACAATGACAAAGAGAGGGCTTTCTATGCTTTTCAAACTAGAAAAACAAAAGTATTAACCATCGCACCCATATGACAAGTCTTTAACTTTTAAAAAGACATTTTGAAATCTTTCAGATGAAACAGTATTTCTGGGAGTTACTTTAAACTCTTATAGGAAAGGGAGTTGTGAGGGTATAGATAAAATCAGATGGGCCATGAATTAACATAGTTGTTTGGATCTGGGTAATGGGCACTCAATTATACTTGTATATAATTACAGTTTGCAATAAAGAAAGTGTTTAAAAACAAGCAAAACCCCAAATGGCCCTGTGAAGCAGCAGCAGACACTGGATGGTTGACCAGTCTGCAAGCTCCACCTATGAGCAGTGTCTGGAGGCCACAACAGGCTCTCACCAGGGGCTGGGCATACAGTGTAACAAAGTATGTTCTGTATTAAGATTTCATTTTGGGTTTGGAAAACTTGAGGAAGAAATTTGTTATGATATAAATTATAGAATGATAACATTTAACAAAACCTTGGCAGGAGGGGCTTGGTTTAAAAAGTCTGAAAAACACTTTTGTTCTTGCCTTGTTTACTTATGGTTAACAAGAATATTTTTCTTACTCATAAAAAAATTCAAAATACCTTTAATAACTGGAATGTTTGTATTCTCATCAGAGTGGCAGCCAGTCCCTTGCAGAGACCTCATTCATCAATTTATTCATTCAATAAACTATGTAACACTGGATGCCTTTGGCCAAGCACTTTGCTGAGCTCTGAGACACTGTGGTGAATCAGCGGGCATGGACCCTACCCTCTGTGCTAACAGCTAAAACATCAAAAACATTCCCCCCACCCATACCACTAAAAATTATAATAAAGAAGCTCTGGGGGCTTACTGGTAAGGAGTTGCACTGCCAGCCCAAAGTTTCTCCTGTACAGGAGAAAGATGGTCAGTCTCTTCCCGTGCTATTTACAGAAAACCCGCTGGTGGGTCAATTATGAGTCTGTTCCAACTTGATGGCACAGACCAATACCAAAAATAATTCCATCCCTCCCTTGGTTCTTTGGCCTAGAGAATGTGTCTCTTGTTGAAACCTTCTTCTGTGGCCCAACATAGTAATGTTCTCTCCTGTGGACTCAGCAGGAAGGTACACCTGCCCAGCCCCTGCCTTCTTTCTGAGGCAGCATTTGGATAAATTCCTGAACTTTGTCACATAGTAGCTGGGTGACCTTGGGCATGTGCCTCAGCTTCCTCCTTTGCTAAAGAGCCGATAATAGCAGTGCAATACTTCACAGGGTTGTTTTGAAGATTAAATGAGCTAGCATGTGAGTGCTTAGAATAGTACCTGCCATATAAAAAGGCCATAAATACAAGAGTTTGCTCTCTTTATTGGAGCTTATGCTCTTGTTGGAGAGAAAGATGATAAAACGAAAAGTATAAAGAAAGGACGGGACAGAGAACCAGTAGAGAAAGGGAGATAGGAACGATGTGAAATGCGAGGGAAGGAAAAGGTCTTATCTCCCCATCCTAAAAATAAGAGTATGTCAAAAAAAAAGCAAGGATCATGCTTAATCCAATTCTGTACAGAGTCCCGGGTGAGGAGTGAGGCTGCTAACAGCAAGTCTGGGAGTTTAATCCACCCAGAGGCTCTTCAGATCGCCTGGCCATCCCCAAAATCGCAGCCATTGAAAACCCTGTGGAGGGCAGTTCTACTGTGACACACATGGAGCCGCCCTAAATCGGAGCTGGCATGAAGGCAAATGGTTTGGCTTTGGTTTTCGTTGTATGTGGTATATTACAGCAAGTATGTACATAAATAAACCAAAACTGAGTATGGGCTGGGGTGGGCGCTTTTCCTAGGAGGGCTGCTAACCCGAAGGGGCGCCTCCCTGCTGGTCCCAGTCCACCGGCGGCTGGGAGAAAGACTGACCATCTCCTTAGCAGCGATTTACGGTTCTTGGAGACCCGCTGGAGGGTCAGCAGTGAGTCCGTTTAAGCTCAAAGACAATGAGGTTTAGGTCTGAGTCTGGACCGGGTGTGGAGCAGGGCGGCCCGGTGGGGACAGGGCGCCGCCCACTCACGCCGATCATGGCTTTGTCCCCGCAGAGAGCGCCTACGCCGACACGCTCACTCCCGCGCGCCTGAGCCAGGCCCGCTTCAGCGCCTGCCTGCCGCCCAGCAGCCACGACGCGGCCAACTTCGACAATAACGAGCTGGAAAACAACCAGGTGGTGGCCAAGCTGGGACACCTGGCA